AGAACAGGCCCTTGGACGCCTGACTGTGAGCATGGGGCAGAGGGCTTGGGGGAAGAGGACGGGGCTAGGGTGCTTCCAGGGTGCCCTGCAATGGCCAGAAATGTGCCCCCGCCCACACTGCCCTTTTGGGCTATGCCTTAGGAGGGTCTAAGTGGGGAGAGGCAGGGCAGAGAAAGGGGCCAGGACAGGGGCAGACAGTCTGGGGTTGGGGGTAGTGCTGGGGACCTTCGAGCTTAAAAAGGGAGACTTGGGTGGGAGGGAGTTCAAGGCCCCAGAGATGGAGACAGCGAGAGAAGGAGACAGCTGGGAGGGCGAGGGGGAGACCTTAGAGAGCCCTGAGAGGCACGAGGCGGAGGCGAGGTGAGGTGAGGCGTGCGGGAGGCTCACGGGGCGCCAGCACAGGCGCTGCACACATGCACACACCTATTGTGTCACTGTGGCTCACGAACTGCACTCTCCTCCCCTGGCTGGGGGAGAGGGCAGCTGCTTGAGCTGCCACCTCCTCTTCTTCCCTCCCATCCCCAGAGGTCCCCAGAGGACCCTTCTGTACCTGGAGGCCACTATTTTGTAGGTTCCGGCCCCTTTCTGGGCCGGGGAAAGCCCCTGGCTGGGCTGGGGGTTTGTAAGGAAGAAGAGCCCCTGAGGGAGAGTGGGCAACGCTGAGTCTAGGCATGAGGGGGCTCCCCAAGGCCAGAGCTCTCACACTTGGCTCACGGTGAAGCTTTGCCTCGTCCCCAAGGCCAGGGCAGGAAGATTTATTGCACTTTTATTGCCTGGGTAGCTTGCCCAGAGTCAGCGGGAGGCACTAGGCTGGAGTTAGGGGGAGGGCGGGTCAGCGGGCGTACACAATGCACCCTCTGTGCCTGTCCCCGAGTTGGCAGGAGCGCAGTGCCCTGCTCACTGCCCCAGAGGCTTCCAGCCTGGATCTACCCCTCTGGGCTTTCTGAGGGGAGGGGCTGCCTGCGGACCAGGAAGGAGCTGCAGCAACCCCAGCCCCTAGCTCGTCCGCATCTCGTCTGTGAGTTTAGTGACCCAAATGCTCTAAAATCCCACCAGCTCCTGGTCCCCCTGCTGCCTCTGCCCCAGGCACTCCTCACAGTGTCCCCTCAACTCCTGCCATTCTCCCAGAATCCCCCAGCCCTGCCCCCTTTCTCCAAAGCTCCTGATCCTTACCAGGGGGAAATCTTTTGGAAACTTCTCTCCAGCTGCCCACACTGTTCCCTTCTTGGCCTTATCCCAGCAGGCCTTGGTGGTGTTGGGGGTGGGGGTGTTTGCTGCTTTCTAGGTCACCGCAGAGGGAGCTGGAAGCTTGGGGATGTGGGTCAAGATTGTGGGCGCCGCATCTGAGCATGCCACATCCCCAGACACGACTTCACTGGCTGCAGACTATTATGTCTCAGAATTGTTCCTACCTCTTAGAGCCTGGGGCAGAGGTGTGTGGAGTGGCATCTAGCACAGGGCAGTGCCAGGGGGTGTGGACCAAGCCCAGCATGGGGGTGCCAGGATTGGGGTGAGCAGTGAGCCCAAAGCAGGCTGGGCACTCCCCCAGAAGTTGAAGGGACAAATTCCCCGGGCCCTGACCCCTAGGCCCTGTGCCTTCTCCCCGGGGCTGGGCTGGTGGACACTATTTCTAATACCAGGTCCTTGGAGACCAGGGAATGTTAAGCTGCTATTGTGCCTGCCTGGTCTTGTCCAGCTTGGCACCGTATGGTGTAGGGGAGCAGCCTGGTGCCAGCCTGTGGGGGGCCAGCATCTTTGGACAGCTTAAGAGCCAAACATGATCAAGAGTCTACCCCCTGCTGCTTCTGTCCTGGTCTGGACCCCACCAGGCTGACCTGCAGCCTTCAGCTTTTCAACTAGACCCCTGAGGGGGTTAGCTCTGCCCCAGGCTCATGGGAAGGAGGCTGGGGGCTGGAGCACTTGCCTCTCTAGCTCCATGGGCTGCTTGGACCTGGCTGACCCTTGCCTTCCCGGACCCCCCTTGCCAGCCGTGCAGCGCATTGCCGAGTCTCACCTGCAGTCCATCAGCAACCTGGGTGAGAATCAGGCCTCGGAGGAGGAGGATGAGCTGGGGGAGCTGCGGGAGCTGGGCTACCCAAGAGAGGAAGAGGAGGAGGAGGACGATGATGAAGAGGAGGAGGAGGAGGAGGACAGCCAGGCTGAAGTCCTGAGGAGCAGCAGGGGGTCTGGTAAGCTGAAGGGGCTGGAAGGCTGGGTCCTACCACCATGGTTAGGTGGGGTCCTCCCTGAGCATCCTGGGTCACCCCCTCCCAGTTCTCACACATGTAAACTGCAGTCACACCACAAGGGCCTCCCCATCCTCTCACCCCACTGGATGCCTCACACTCAGCCTTACCTGACACCTGGGCTGCTCCCATCCTCGACTCAGCCCCTCTCCCAATCAGGTACTCCCTAATAATTCCTCTCTTCTCTAAGAAATAAGGGAATGCCACATGAAGTTTGAAGCTAGACCCAAGAAAGGAGTTCCCATCCCCATGGCGGTGAGGGGGTGCAAGGAGATGCAAGGATAGAGGACTAAGAGTGTCCAATGCCCCCACTGCCTACGGCTCTGAACGTAGGATGTGGTCTCTGCTGGGAGGCAGAGGGCTGGCTGATAAGGCCTCTCCAGGACCCTGTGGCTGTTTCTCCCCACTTTTTCATTTCCTAGGCTGAGGATGAGAGGGTGCCCTCTAGTGTCTAGACGGAGAATCTAGGATTCAAGAACCAATCTGGTCCTCCTGCACCTCCACTCCCAGCTGGCTGGAAAGAGAGGGGCCTAAGACCTACACAGAAGGCCTCAGAACTAGAGGCCCCAGATCCAAAAATCTCCACAATGGTCCCAAGGCCCAGAGAATTTCTAGGCCCAGGGCTGTTTCTTCCATGCCTGGCCATGGAAGGCTGTGCCACATCTGTCCCTCCTAGCGCACATTAAACTTTTTGGTCCCATTGTTTATGGGGATGAAAAACAGCCGACCACCCCTGCTGGAAGTGCCCAGCCTTTGCACCCCAACAAAATGGCTTGGACTTCCTCTCTGCATCTCTGAGTCAGCTCCCACTGAGACCCCCAGAACAGGTGGAGAGGAGGTGAGAGGAGACCGTTCCCTCACGAAAAGCAGTAGGGCAGTGGGTCAAATGACAAGACTACCAAGGAGCAATATCAACCGCCCTCGGAGCAGCTCCTGGGTCCTGGCACTGGGCCAGGCAGGGTATTAACTATTATCTTATTTAAGGCAATCTACACAATTTCCCTCTTACCGTCCCCTTCAGAGAGGTAAAGACTATCTAAATCATATGGCCAGTCATTGGAAGAGCTGTCCTAGTCCAGTGCTCTCTCTACTATACCATGATGGCCTCAGAAAGCTTAGCCTCAGCCATCAGAGACTCAGCTCATGCTCCAGGACAGCCAGATGGATACTCGGAGCCTGTTTTTTCACCACTTCTTCCCTGTCCCCAGCTGGGCAGAAGACAACTTTTGGCCAGGGTCTGGAGGGGCCCTGGGAGCGCCCACCCCCTCTGGATGAGCCCCAGAGAGATGGAAGCTCCGAGGACCAAGTGGAAGACTCCACACTAAGTGGTAAGGCTTGGGAGCGGGGAATGAGGCGGCAGAGCTGGGATCTTGGTGGATGTGGCCAGGCCCTGAGTCCCTCTGCTTGCTTTGCAGAGCCAGGAGAGGAGCCACAGTGCCCTGCCCACCCTGAGCCTGGCACATAGATACCCAGCCCTACATCTCTCAGAAGAAAGTGGAGGGGGCATCGCTGCTCTCCAGAAACCCACTCTGTCCCCACCCTATTTTGTACCCTTCCCCTCATTTGCTAGGGCTGCGGCTTCTGACTTCTAGAAGACTAAAGCTGGTCTGTGTTTGCTTGTTCACCCACCTTTGGCTGATGCCCAGAGTCCCTGGGCACTTGCTGCCTGATGCCTACCCCTGCCAGTCATTCCCCTGCTCACTCAGTGGGAGGCGAGATGTGAGAGCTTGCATTGGAAAAGCCAGTGAATGGGGGACAAAGGTTCATCCTTCACAATTCTACTCCCCAGACCCTCTCCCCTGGGCACAGGAAAACCACAGGGCAGGACCCTAAGATATGGGGAAGGGAGGTACTAAGAACCTGTAGGTGCCCTTAGATCCTTCTCTATCCCCTCTCCTATGGGAGATTCCAAGTCACCACCCCTGTCACTGGCTTCTACCGGGACCCAGGATTCAGGCATCCTTCTCCACAGCCTCAAAATTTTGGAAACCTTCCCCTTATCACCCCCGCGCCCCAGCCTGGGTGCCTGGAAGATGGACTGGCAGAGGCTGCTTTGTTGCATTTTGTTTGTGCTTTGATGCCAGGAATGCCGCCTAGTATACGTCCTGGGGTGGGGGTGGGGGCACACGGTGTGGGGAGCCAGGTTCTCCTGTCCTCGAGCTGCTCTGCCCCCTTCCCCTCTTCCCTGACTCCAGGCCTGAACCGCTCCCGTGGTGTAATAAATCTTTGTAAATAACTGTGCTGAGACTGCTCTTTTAGAGGAAAGGACAGGGAGGAGGAGGTAACGGGGTTCCTGTTGTGGACTGGTTGGTGGTCATCCAAGGGGCGGGGCCTCGACCCTAGTGTCCAGTCCTCTAGTCTAAGATCCTCCCGCAAACAACAAGCTCGGGGCACACTTAGGAAGGATTACAAAAGTTCTAGATCCTGCTAGGGACGGCTGAAAGAGGCGAGGGGCGGGGGGAGAGAAATCCTTCAAGAGTAATTGGATTCCTCCAAACAACCTGTCCCCCAGCCCCACAGACCGCCCTTCACGAAGTTCCCCTTTTTTTACGCAGTGCCAGGCCGAGATGGTCCAATAACAATGATGCCCTGGGTTTCATTCCCATTCCACCGCCGTCAGGAAGACCCCCCTGAAGTCTAACTTCAGCTGTAGCCCCCACTTCCGGCCCTTGGTGGGGCGGCCCCCGCCGGCTTGGGGGCGGAGGCTGAGGCGAGAGGGAGGAGGCTGAGGCGAGAGGGCGGGGCTGCAGCCCTACGCCCGCCCCGGTTCGCTCTCGCGGGCGGACCCAGCGGCGGAAGTGGCGCCATCGGCAGATTGCCTTCCGCTCTGAGGCGCTGCCGGGGCCGCGGACCCGGACTGCGCCTGGGGCAGGAAGAGCCGGGGCGGCGGCTGACATGGAGCAGGTGGGTCCAGGAGAGGTCACTGGGGCCGGGTGGGGGCACGAGGGCTGTGTCTTGCCAGCGGATCCCGCCTCCCAGCCTGTTGTCCGCTCTTAGTTCCGTCCGACCCTCCCCACACCCCCGCGTCCCAGGTTCCGCCCCCTTCCTCTGCTCGGCCTCGCTCCGCCCCGCGCGGGGTTCTGGGGTCTTCGGCGCTGACCCTCGCGACCCCGCCCACCCGAGAGGGCCCGGGGGGAGGCGTCCCAGATCGCTTTCTAAACCCTGCCTCTTCACTCTGAGGGGAGAGGCGGGGGGACGGTGTCTGGGTGTTAAGGGGCCGGGGATGGTCGTGGGGAGGGCTCAGGGTCTGAGAAGGAGCAGGAAAATGTCTACACTTTCCGGTGGGTTTGCGTCTGGCTGTCATCCGGTCTCCCCCAACTTCCTTTGGAAACGGCAGTGGATGACTTCTTAGTTGACGTCAAAAGGGCCCTGTACACTCACTTTTGAGTTCTCAGAGGTGCATAACACCAGTGACACTCATTCCTAATTGACATCACTGACACAGGCCCCCGTTTTTGACTTCCTCCGCGTCAGCGTCCCCTTATTTTCTTCCCACTGTTCTGACAGTAGAAGTACTGTTTCACGGTCTCCTCTCCCGCCCAGCCCCCACTCTGTACACTGAATCTGGACGGTCTCATGTACTCCCGTGGCTTCAGCTTTCGCCACCTGAATAGCCGAATCGCGCCCAGATCTGCGTCTTCAGCTCAGCCCCTCCCTGGAGCCCCAGACCCGGCCATCCGGCGACCGGTGGGACAGCTCCTGTTCAGCTGGAGCTTGCTGTGTCTAAACTTGACCTGGTCTTTTCCGCTGCAGACTCAGCCTTCCTCTGCCACTCCATCCCAGCGAGAAACCTGGGAATCTTCTTATTCTTCCTCCTCTCCCTCAATTCCCATTTCTAAGAGGTGGCCTAGTCTGGTTGACTTCCTGAACATGCTTCAGACCTGCTCTTGCACCTGCATCTCTTCTGTTCCCACCTTGTTGATGTGTTTCTCACCAGGATGACTGCGGTGGCTTCCCAGCAACTTCCAGTCATGGCTGCCTGCATCCCAGTCTCCAAACTGTAACTCTTGTAATCCTTTTAAAACACATCTAATAGTGTCACTTCCTTGCTTAAGGCTTCTCATCGCCTGTGGGAGAGGCTGAGTCCCTACCACAATATACAGAGCTCTCTAGGATCTGACCTCTTCCCTGCCAGTGTCCTTTGTGCACCCTAAGGTCCGATAATCTGCACTGCAGGATGTGTTTGCCTCCCCTTGCTGTTTCGTGTCTCTGTGCCTTTGCACACACCAGCCCTCTGCCTGGAAAGCCCCTTCTCCTCTTTCTGCTGAGCTCCTTTGTACTTGTCCTTCAGTGGTCTGCTCAGGCAGCACCACCTCTGGATTGACTCCCCCACCCCCAAGACTAAATATCGCCCCTCAGTGTCCCTGCAGCACCCTGTCCATAATAACCTAGTGGTTGAGAATACAGACTCCTGAACCAGACTTCCTGTGTTCTTATACTGTTTTGTGGCCTTGAGGAAGTCAGTGTCTCAGTTTCCTCATTTGTAAAATGGAGATGTAAGGTGCCTACCTCATAGAGTTGTTGTGGGGATTCAATGAAATAACGTATGTATAGTGCTTAAAACTGTGAGCACATGAGGGCTCAATACATAAATGTCAGCTCTTATTGTTTATTTAAGGACAATGTAGAGCAGTAGTTATAACGTTTAATTTCATAAGTTGTTTGAGGACTTGATGCAGTTTACTTCTCATTCTGTCCCAGAGCCCCAAATCCTGGCTTTTTGTCAATAAATAAAATTCTGGGATGGAGGGCGTTGGGGGCAGGATCTGGATTTATCGAGTGAGGAGTTAAGAGTGAAAAAGACCAGGACTTGATGTCCGTCTGCTCAGGAAATGAAGCTGGACATGGGTGAATGTTACATGGCAAGCATTAGTTCTAGAAAAATGTACATGGCGCTCTGGGAACCCCAGAGAGAGAAAAGCCAAGGATGGCTTCCCAGAGGAGCTGACAGTTAGTGAGGGGCCTTAGAGTGAGAGGATGAGTTTACCAGAGGGAGGCAGAGACCGGGGTGGGCTCAGAGAATGGAGAGCTGGGTCTTCTGAAGAGAGCTCTTGTGGAGGGAGGGGGGGTGAGGGGGGCAGGAGGGCAGAGGCAGCCGCCTCTGCCGAGGCTGGGGATTCCTTTCCTCTCTTGGCCATGAGGAAGTGTCTCCTTGGGTTAGGAGCCGCCGGGACCATACCCTGGGGAGGTGTGGAGGCCTGGAACCTGGTATTTCGGGGCAGGCCCCCTGGGGTGGGGCCAGCACGCAGGCCTGTGGGCTGGGCATGTGCTTTAGACCAGAGTGTGGGCCTTTGTTCGTACCGTTTCGCCTGCCTGGAATGCCTCTCCTCCCTGCTGCAGCTCATAGACCCGGATTCTTCAAGCCCGGTCAATGCTCCTCCTCTCTGTGGCTTTCCCCACCTCACCCCGTCCAGCCTGGGTCAGATGCTCCCTTCTCTGGGAGCCCTTGGTCTTTTGTTTGTTCCCCCTGAAAGTGCTGATCACAGTGTGGCACCATGTGTTTCTCTGTCAGCCTCCCTCCGCAGACCCGGAGCCCCTGACTGTCCCCAGGCATGGGCACAGTGTCTGGCACGCTGCAGGCTCTCAGCTCCTGTGCTGCATAAACTGAGCTCTTGCACACTTAGCTTTGTTTGGGGAGGGGGTGCGGGTGAGACCCAAAGTCCTGTACATTTGACAGCTCATGCTTGTTCCATTGGGTGGTAGAGATGGGTGAACCCATTTTGCAGATGGGGAAGCTGAGGCTCAGGGGAGGTAGAGTCAGGGTCACCCTGCAGGGACTTCAAGGTCTCCTGACTCCAGGTCCACCGCTGTCTTCCAGAAACTGTCTCAGGGTCCCAGCCCCCAAAAGGGCAGCTGCCACATCGGTGGGGCAAGGACACATCTCATCTAGCCAGTTGTGTATCCCTCTGAACTTTTTCTGGCTGAGAAGAGGCCGATCCTGGCTGTTGTCGGTCAGGGCTTGTGCTGGGAGGAGTCTGTGCTGAACACTCCCGCCCCACCGAGGGGGCCTTCCCTTGAGTGGGCTGGTAGAACTGAGATCTCTCCCGGAAAATGACTGGCCCTTTCCAGACTGACCTTGAGAACTTGACCTCATCAGCTGCAAGTTTTACCCAACAGCAGTACCGGGTAGGCTGGCGCCTGACTCACCAGCGCCTAAATAGGCCAGGGGTCTTGGAATCACAGAGCTGGGGCATCCCCGACATTTACTGGGGCTGGGCATGTGGAGGGGGCGGGGGGTGCTGAGTGGATCTGTTTGTTAGGGTTTTCTAGTGAACTCTGCCCTCAGAACCTCCTGGGCTGGGGGTGAGAGTACAGCGATGAATGTAGTTTCTGTTTTGGCTTGACTCTTTCCTTTGCACTTCCCCAAAAAGAAAGGAGAAATGGAGCCTGGCTTATTTGTCACTGCCTCCATGTCCTCCTCTCTTTAAACTCCTGCTTCTCCAGGGAACTTCCTAAACCCTCTGTCGGTAGGGCAGGGGCCTGTAAGCTGACTGTGCCAGGGCTGATGGCACGGGCCGTCAATTACAGTAGAGCCTACCGTGTGCCATCCTGGGTCAGCGCCCTGAGGCCAGGGCCTATCCTTCCATCCAGCAGTACTGATGGCACACGCAGTTTGGGCAAAGTGCTGTGCCGTGTGTGCCGGGCCCAGGGCCCTGCCTGTCACACTGTACCCATGGCCCCTAGTAGTAGTAGTAGCTACCGGTAATTAAGCACAGACACTTTGCAGGTGTTATTTCTAATCCTTCCAGTAGCTCTGTGAAGTGGGCACTATACTATCCCCCTTTTACAGATGAGGAGACTGAGGTTCAGAGAGACTCAGTGATTTGGTCAACGTCACACAGCCTAATAAAGAATGACCTTGGCTTTGACTCCAGGTCTGCTGACCAACCCCCAAACCCGAGCCCTTTCCCCTATTCCAGGGTGGGCATTACGGATCCACAGACCAAGTAACTTACTAGACATGTACCATGGCCACACTCTGTGACCTGGGTCTCAAGCGCTCAAGGAGAGGTGACTGAGGCTCGAGTGTAGCTGTGTGAAAAGTGGATGCTGATCCCGAGTCCTGAGATCCGGGCTTGGGGAAGCCTGGAGGGTGAGGGTGAGCTTTGCCCAGGAGGAGACATTTGAACTGGTCTCTGAAGAGTTGGAGTTCTCCCCCAGGGACAGGAGATCGGTCCAGAATGAGGAATCGGGGGGTGCAGGCACAGAAGGGAGACCAGCCGGCCGTGGGGTGTCCCCGCAGCCACCAGTGGTCAGGAGAGTACTTGGGGAGGGGTGTGAGCCCCATAGCGAGAGAGGAGAGCTGGGGTCTTGCCACGGGAGCCATCCCTCCTCCTTGACCTTTGCTGTCAAGGAGTTGAACTCAGCCCCAGTCGGCTCAGGAAAGGGGAGGGGAGGGGAGCATCCACCGTGCCTGAGGTTGCCCGGGAAACCAGTTCCCCTTGCCTGCTGGTGAAGGGGTGCCTGGACTCTGGGCAGGCGAGACACCAGCAGAGGGCGGAGTCCAGCTCTAGGAGAGGCAGGCGGTCTGGACGGGGAGGGGCTGGGCCTTCAGGGCTGGGCATGAGTGTGTACTTGTGCACCTGTGTACGTGCTGCAGTAGGAAAGGGTGTAAATAGTTGTTCAACACATTTCCTGAATATTTACTGTGAGCTTGGTACCGTGCTGGGTACTAGACACGAAGCATTGAGCAGAACACGGGGAGTTACTGCTCTCATGAAGCTGGCATTCCAGTGGGAGAAGACAGACGAGTAAACATATGATATGTTTGGGGGATAAGTGCTGTGAATAATAAATAATAAAGCAGGGTAAGTGGGTGGGGGGGCTGAGTAGAGAGTTCAGGGAAAGCTCCTCCAAAGGGACTTTTACAGCAAGACCAGAATGGAGGGCGGGAACACTGCAGA